CCACCCTCGGGGATACGTCAGGGCAGGTGGGTCACACCGGAAGTGATGTGCAGAGAGCAACGGCTGCGCTCTGTGACATGTCCCAGGGATGCTTTGTCCCTTACCCTGTGCCTGCTGTTGGGATGGCTGATGGCAGACCCCAGAGTGCCAACCCCGTGCAGTAGATGATCCCATCAACTGCCCGTTTGAATGGCCAGGAAAAGCTCTGCTTTCCACGAGGCTTCCAGCCCTTGGGAAACATTTCCTTGCGGGTTTGGGACTGCTCCCTTGTAGGAAGCACCAGAGCATCTCCATGGGGCTGGGCTGCGCCCTGGGGCTAACACAACCGTGGGCATCAGCAAGGCATGGGCAGGAGTGGGTTCCTTTGGGTCGGGGACATGGGGGGCCGAGCACCAGGCTGGGGTACGCTGACTGTGGCCACTCACCCCATCTCTCACCCCGCTGCTTGCAGGTGACTGTTACCCCAGCGCTGGCTGAGGATGGACACCGAGACGGCGGCACCCTGCGTACAGATCGTGGTTCTGCGACCTCCAGGCCGTGGCTGTTGCGCGTGGCTCGGCTTTCCCTCGGCCAGTAAAATGGGACCAAGTATCTTCTCTCTTCCTACCGGCACCCACTCCTGGTGGGACCGCCCAGCCGGCTTACGGCCACTGGTGCCAACACCTTGTCCCACTGGAAACCTGTTTTCTCCCTGGGATGCTGCTGCGCCGTAGCACCGGACGATGGCTTGGGGATGCCGAGCGGTTGGACCACCCCTTAGGACTTGCTGCTAAAACGGGTGCCGTTTTTTATTCCAGACTTGGCATTTTCTTGTTAAAAGATGACCTTAGGCGCACCGGGAACCCCAAAAGATGTGGATGTCACTGCTGCTGCTCTGGGTGAAGCCCAGGCAGTGGCTCTGGGCCAAACTCACCTGTTTGCCCCCTTCTCTGTAGCGCCAGGCTGCGGCCAGAGGGCTGGCCCTAACCCTGGGGGTCTACGGGAGGGGGAGAAAGGGGCCACCAGCCCTGTAGGGTGTCATCTATGCCAGCACCCAAGGGTGGGGGTGTAATCCAGGCCTCTCCCAGCTCCGTGGGCTCTATACTGGCCCCCAGCCCTTCCCTCCTGGAGCACCAAGGCATCTCGGGGGGTGTGTGTGTCCCTGCAAAGCACTTTAGGGTCCCCCAGACCAAGCGTCCTCGTCGGGGACCACACGTGGGAATGATGCTGGACCAGGGCTTCGTTAGCCCTGCTTGCCTTGTTAAGACATCCCGAAAGGAGCCCGTGGCTGGCACTGGTGAACGTCCCGGATGACAGTGTCTCTGTGCCCCCGGTTCGTGTTCATGTATGGAGCTGAGTGCCGCAGGATTTACCCTGCAGCCTCTCCTGGGAGCGCGCTGGGGCGGCAGGAGATACCTGTGGGATTTATTTTGGTTTTCTTTCCTATTTTTTGGGAACTAGAAGTGCTGATGGGGCCAAATCCCCGTGTCCTGGGGAAGAGCTCGCTGCTCGCTCCAGGCTCGGAACATCTTTTAAATGAAAATAAAAGGAGGATTTTCTAGCACGCCCGTGTCTGCTGCCAGCGTGCTTGGGGCGGTGCCGGGCTGCGAGCCCCGAAATGGGGTACCCTGGAGTCTGGGCTGTCCCCTGCCCCTTGGCTGGCCACGTGCTCAGGATGTGGATTACATGGGGGTAGCCCCATCCTCGCGTGGGCTTGGGGATGGGTGGAGGCGTCTTGTTCTCCCTTTGGGACAGCGCTGCTGGACCTGGGGCTGTGCCAGGCCACAGAGGGACCAGAAGTGGCTTTTGGGGGACACAGGGCCAGGGATGCTCTAGGCGTGGGCAACAGGGAGTTTCTTTCACTAGATGGCAGCAGAGACTAGGATGTGACGCTCCAACTGGTGGCAGGGACAGTGGGTGCCTGGAGAGGGTGCTGAACCTTTCTCCTCCCCGAGCATCCACAACCCAAATTCCCCGCCGCCAGCCTGGCTCGTGCAGCAAAGTGCACGAAAACGGGTGAAATGCATTAAAATGGCCCAACTTGAAAGCCACAGCATAGGTGGCGTTGGCTGAACGGGAACCGGGTTGGTGTCACCCCAATTTTTGGGGCAGTTTAGCTCCCTGGGGTGCTGCAGGGGGAAGTGTCTGTGGTTCGGCCACGTTTCTGGCCAACCTATCGAGGCTGTTTCTTCAAAACCCCGGCGTTAGGGGCTGATGGAGCCTCTGATTCTGTGGGTGACCCGGCGGATGAAAGGTGCTGCCCCATCCCTGCCAGGGACCTGCCCAGCTCGTTTCGCAGGTGCGGCTGCCGAAATGGGTTTGGGGTGGTTTTTTTGCTAAAAACAAGTTGGTGCTCAATGGGTTCAACCTCGAAGTGGGGCTTACGCCCCCCCCAAAACGAGGTTTAGCCATTCAGGATTGGGTTGGTTTTGGTCTCGTGCGCCCAGCCTGGTGTTTTTTGGGTGCTCTGCAGCACCCAATACAGAGCGGGTGTGCAGGGTCCTCTGCCCCATGCTGAGCCCAGGCCAGGCGCGTGACGGTGGTGACAGCCACCTCAGCTCCTCTCGGGGCTCTTTGCTTAAAACTAGCGGTGGGACAACCCACGGGTGCCGTCAGCTGGTTTGGAGGAGCCCAGAAACGAGCCCTCAGTGTGGTTTGGGGGTCCCTGCTGCCGGGAGCTGGCTGCAAGGCTCCGGTTTTGTTTTCCAGCCGGTGTTTGCTCTCCCGGTGACGCCCTGCTTGAGCTTATTTGCTTTCCTTTGTGTAAAGAAATGCCACGTAAACTCGGGTGCAGGAAATGTCCCTGGGTGCTCACCTGGCTGGCGCTGGCAGCCCTGCCCCGTCCCTCAGGGACAAGGAGCCCTAGGTGCCCTCCGGATGAGCACAGCCCCTGCCCTCGAGTCCCCCTGATGCCTCCCCAGTAGGACCCAGCATCCTGCCATCCTACCTCCCCGCTGCCCACGCTCCTCCCGGGCCCAAATCCACCCTTACAATTATGATTAGGAGATTAAATCAAGCCGTATGGTCTCTCTGCTATCGCACGAGGCGCTGGCAGAGCTGTCCCCAAGCTCGCTGGCTCCCCGGGGCCGATTTCTGCTCGG